CTCGTAGCCGGAGCTGGGAGGAGGGGATTTGCAGTGCACTTTCATGTGTTTTCTCAGGGAGCTGGGGTGGGTGTAGGACTTGTCGCAGCCTCTCACTTTGCAGTTGTAGGGTTTGTCGCTGGTGTGGACATGCGAGTGTTTCTTCCTGTCGCTGCTGTTGGCGAAGCGCCTGTCACAGCCCTCGAATTCACATTTGAACGGCTTCTCCCCTGCAGGAGGCAATGGGCGAGCACAGCCATTAGCGGCGGCGGCGGGGCCGGGAGCAGAGCATCCCTCACCCCCGCAGCCCACAGCCTCCCCGGGCCCCTGTCTCCAGCCCTGCCACGGCTCCTCTCCCCGCGGAATCTCCTCTCTCTAGCTCTGCCCTTCCCCGCGGGCCCTGCCGAGCATCCCCCGGAGCCGCCGCTCCGTGCCCACCCGGATGCGCGGCCGGCTCCGCACGCCCTGCCCGGCCAGCTTCTGCTTCTCTTTCCTCTGCCCTGTGTGTGTGTGAACCTGGTGGTTTGTGCAAAAGACAAAGCTTCGAAACAAGGAAAATTTAAAGGAGAACAGCTCGTTCCAAACAAACTTGTGCTGTCCCCGCAGACTCCAAAGTCCTGCAGAAAGAGCGGTCAGTGATTTATTCCTTCGAAGGCTTTTAGATTAAATACATTTCTCACAGTCCCCCAAGCACGTGGAAATATTTTTCATAACCTGGCTAGATCATATTTCATACACTTCATACTTGCTCTGATTATAATCCCATGGAAGATCCACATCCCCTTCCTCTCCCCGCTCCCCAGCTTGCTAATACTATGTGTTTAAGTACAAAATATTTCAGAAGGACATTGATTGAGAAGGAAAAATGATAAAGATTCAGCAGAAGGATGACTAGGCCAGTGCACAGCACTGTCGCGAGGGTGGGATTCCCTTTTCATTTCAACCTACACTCTCACTGAAGGGGTTGCAATCAAGATATAATTGTTTGATCATGTAATAAGTGATGTTATGCATAATAGAAATACAATTGTGTTGCTGGAGTAGTGTGGAAGTTTAACCTCGAATCGTGTGGACCTGGCATGGTAGACGACATATAGGAGGTTTTCAAGGAAAAACGCCACAGCCAGATGCAGGATGAAATGCTGACGGCATTATTGTCGCTGACAATAGCAAGCTGAAAAACCCTGCTTGCCAAGGGGTACCCAGGTCCTGTACCAACCGACTATGAAAATATCCTCCTCACCCGTCAAAAGTCAGAAAGTAACAGGGCGGAGAGGACTCCACAAAAATACACGGCCTAACCTTAACGTGAAGTGCAAACAAAGCAACTGTGTTCACCATCATGGCGTATGTAGCCAAAAGGACTTCCAGTATTTGGTTTTGTGTGTTTGTTTTGGTTTGGTTTTTTTAATTTCTTGGGTTGTGCGTTTGTGGTTGTAGTTTTTATTTTTTTCCCTCTCAATTCGTCATGATTAAATTTAGGACAGACTCAGCCTACATCGGGCTCGACTGCGAGCAGGAGCAAATAAAGGAAGGCATTCCAAATATTTCACATGAATGCACTTTATGCAAGGTGGGTGGGAAAGGCTCACGGCTCCGCGTTTAAAGTATGCCCTTTCCACACTGTAATAGTCAATGGGGAGCGCTGACATCCTGCACCGCTAACATTTGCACAGAGGATGGGTAAATACCTGGCGTCGGAGGGAAGGGAGGGAAGAGGTTAAAAATAAGGTCTCAAAACCGATGCGGATTCTGTAACCAAATACTGTCGACATACAGCGGTGCATATGCATAGACACACGCCAGCCTATAATCTAATTAGAGATCCACGTAAGGAAATAATTTGACCTTCAGCATCTAAGTTGAGACAACAAATCAAGGATATTAGTGTAGTACAAGCAAGCAGTAAGTTAGGAGACCCCAGGGAAAGCCATCCTCATAAGCACTCTGCTTGTGCAAAGTGAGTTCCATTCAGGTAAAAGCGGGCTGCGCCGCACTGCGCTTTGCCGAGTTGAAAAATGTTCAACTTCGCTTAACCCCCTGAAAGAGCCACTGAAAGGTCCGTCCGTGCAGCCGGGTTTCAAGTGGGAAGAGGGCAGCATTTTCTCAGCTGCCCGGGTTGCATTCCCTGAACGCCTCAATAAAGAGGAGCCATCCGAGCCATTTGCAAGCATTCCTTTGGCGAGAGCAGGTTTTCTTACGCGGAAATCCCTGCCGGGCAGGGAGAGGACACCGCACAGGTCCCGGCTGCCGCAGCCACGCACAAAGTTCCGCGGGCGATGGAGACTCAAGCGCCATTTTACCCCCACACTTGTAGCTGGGCAAAAGTGTTCAGTGAAATTCAGCTCGGAATTTGTGGCATAATCCCCCGTCTCCGGGAGTGGATTAAGGTATTTACCAACTTCTCCGGGTGGGTGGTGGCGGGGGGAAGCCGGAGCTGGCGGCTGCGGGGCTGCGGGCGAGGCGCGGGGGTGGCGGGGCCCGCAGGGAGGGAGCGGGGCTCCGTCCCACGCCTCGCACCATTGTTCCCGGCCCTCAGGGAAGGCGCTGAAGCGATCCCAGCCCGTCCTGCTCGTCCCGTTGCCGCCGCCTTAACGGCCTTATCCTCCAACCTGGAAAACTCGTACATCGCCAGATATCCCTCTGCCTGCTCCCCAGCCTCGGAGAAATCAGAAGTCATTAATATTTAAGGAGGCAATAATTTTCCTGTTGAATCTAGAACTGTCTTCATGAATAATTCGTAGTGAGTTCTATTAGGGTTTCAGAAACATTGCATTTTTGACAACTTCTGGGTGTTTAATAGAAACGGTGGAACCATAAAGGCCCTGCAGGAGTTTGCACAATACAGCAATTAATCACCGAGAAAGTTAAAGCCAAAAGTACAGACGCGCCGAATGGTGTTTAATAAACGCAAATCTCCGCTCTCGGGTTTGCCCTGAACCTGTATCTCCGATGTAGGTCAGTTTTCCCAAGAATTTAACCATTTTCTGCTTCAGAGACTTCAAACAGTGAGGCCGTTAAAGAGCAGTAAAAGTTTGTTTACTTAAGAAAAACACTGTCATTAAGAGATGAGCTCTCCCGGTTAATGGCTGTACCTGTGCTGATCCAACAAGGACCTGGCTGGGATACAAGTTACGTGACCCGGGGATACCCCATTTTCGAGGGAAAAGGGGGCCAAGAAGGCAGCCGAGGAACACAACTATTCTGTCGTCCAC